CTTCTGTTCAATTAAAAAACAAAAACAAGCAAAAAAACCCACATTAATACCATTATTCCTCAATTCTAGACACACAATTAACTTATTAACAGCTTCTTTGTGGGGTGGGGGAAAAAATACAAGCATATTAAATATGCACACACAGGTTTTAAGATACATCCCATTTCTGAAATGTTAAGTTGGGGTAGGGGGTGTTGTGGGGCAGGAGAGTGGAAGTGAGAGCAGAACTCAAAATCCAGAGAATTTAGTACCTGGACTACCTCTGCTGGCTGTGTTGAGAGTTGATTACTCATAGATGGGTGGCTTTGGGTGGCTGTAGATAGGCTGGTGAGTTGATGGCCACAAAAGAGGTATGGAGCGTCTACTCACCTAATGCCTGCCCAGAAGGAAATTGTGATGGATGGAACCTCTGTAGGAAACAAAGATAACATCTGGTCAGAGAAGTGTCTCACCTTTTAGTGTACAAAACCATACTGTACGCCCTTTCCAAAACCAATCCCCAGTGATGGACTTTGGTCAGTAGCACAGATATGTGCACAAAGATCCAGGAATGTTGAAACTCGGTTTATTTACAGAGGCACTGAAAATATTTTCTTTATGGAATTTCACAATGGGAAAACTGTTACTTGTAAACCATACATAGTCAAATATATTGTCATCACATGAACTTTTCACTCCAATTTATACCCATGACCACCTGTGTTGTTCTCTGGGGGTTCTGTACTCTATACTGAAGGGTTTTGACTCCTATGTGAAATGGTTATGTCATATTTCACAAGAGAGACCCTTGATTAGGAGGGGGACTAATGTTATGACATTGAGATGTATTCTGATTTAATGCTGATGCACCTTATGGAACACTGTCAGGTTTCATTGCAATATCTAAGATCTCCCTAAAGTCTCTCTTTTCTTTTTTCTTTTAAGTGCATTTTGAGGCTCTTTTTATAAGTAAAAGTGATAGCTTAAGAACTTTAGCTGCCTAAAACCATGACATCACTATCTACACATACCTCTGTAAAAGCATTAGGACACATCAGAACTTTAAAACACCCCCACCTTCATATGGGGAGTCACTAGCAGAGTCAACTGGCTGCTTGTACAGAGATGTCATTTGAGCTTTGCTGAGTAGCACTTCCATTAACCAGAAAAGCTCAGGAAAACTGGAGTAATGAGGAAAGAAATCAGAGGAAGACCATAAAAGCTCAGTTCATTTCAAGAAGAAAGCAGTATCCATCCCTCCCCCCTACATTTTAAATATCACAACAATTTAAGTTTCAAAATAAACAATTTACTGACAGCACACTTTATGTACAACTTTAATTTCTTCCTACTGTGTTCATTACCAAGCTGTTGGCTTTCTTTAGGGAGGATGGGGGTAAAAAAAACTTTTAAAAGACTCATTTAACACAGAAGTCAATTTCCATTAATGTATTCTTCATGTGGCATATGTAGTCTTCCAAAGCAGATCTGTATATACAAATATACATATATCAGTATCTTCCTTTATAAAAACAGCAGCAATTATCTCACCCCTAAACACATAATCGCTATTCATATCCAGCAGGAAAAAAACATGACTATGAGAAACCTATCATTTATAATTACTGCAGACTGGTTAGTATTGCTGGTAGAACTGATTTTTCCTTTATTTGTATAAAAACAGCTCTAATCATGAAAAGAATAATGTAACTATTGTATAGCCCAGCTTTTAGTTTCTAAAAAGTTAAGCAGGGAGTGTTTTTCATGCATTCTTCCTTGAGAAAGCAGAAATAAAGTGTTCCATCAATTGTCACTATCAAGTTGTTTGACACAGAAAGAGTTTACAGGCACGGCAGTCTTTGTTACTTTGGGTTTGTAAAGAGGAATCTGAGAGGGTACAGGGACCACCAACTTCTGCATGACCACCAAGGGCTGCACAGGTCCTAAAGACCCCAAAGCCACTTTTGTATGTGTTCAGTGAAAGGAAGAAAATGAGAACTTTGCACTAGTGTGCGGGAGGCCAAAGTTGGCAAAGGACGGAATGAGGGCTGAGACAAATGAACCACCCACAAAACATTCATCACAAGCTTCCAACAAATGCTTTTTGTCTTGAGTTCTTCAGATCACGCCTATAGGTAAAACTGGGAAGCACTGATTGGCAATAATACATGACTAGTTTGTAAGAAACTAGGAGAATGGGAGAATATAAGTGTCACTACTCAAAATCTCTCTAATTTTCCTTAAGTCTTATTCTGTCCATACAATTTAGCCAGTGGAAGCAGGATAGGGAACATTTGCACCCCCACCTCCCCACACACACATACACACTCACACTTAGATCCAAAGCAAGCTGCGAAAACTAGCCAGAGAACATAATCGATATGTGTGCTTAGGCAAAATGTACATATATGAAACACAGACATAAAAGGAAATCGTTAAGTAGATTTATATAGAGAGAGAGTTCTATCTTTGAGAAACGCAATCCATGAAGAATTTTTTCTGATTGTTGAGTTTTCTAATAGGTAGCCCTTCATTAAACTTCCGCAGATGGAAAAACAATGTGTGGTTATTATGGAATTAGGCTGAGCCAGAATCTGCTATTGAATAGTAGTTATCACAGATGTAGAGACCTGTAAAATAATAGATGTACAAGGGTACTTCAGAAAGTTCATGGATGGAAAGATTCATATTATCTTTTAATTCTACTTTTCCACGAACTTTTTGAAATATCTTCATACATTAAAAACCCTTTCAAATTTTTGGTCTCAAAGGTGGCCATGAAATAAATACAGGTTTCAGGCTCAGCTCCATCATTTTTTCAGATGACCGAAGTAATTTCTGTGACCATTCAAACATCAGTTGACATCTTAGTCATTTACAGGACACTTTTATCTACATTATCCCATCGGATCCTCATGGTAGTACTGTGAGGTAGGTGAGAGAAGAATGATTGTCTCTGCTTAACAGATGAGGAAAATAAAGTTCATAAAAGTGAACAGGTCAGAGGTCATGTAGAACCAGGAACCAAACTGTGTTTTAATCTAGTGCTCTTTGAGAAATTATATATGTTTGTGTCTTACAAAATATGGAATATTCCCTTTGTGGCTTACTAATCACAGTATTCTGGCAATAACTTTTTTTGAGCAATGCCCTTTAGTTCACCTTCAAGGTCCCTGCAACAGCATAGCTATTTCTCATCAATCTTTTTCATCAGTTCATCTCCCAAGTTAAGGTTCCTTCTTCCAGAACATCTCCCCTTAGACAGGGATCAGAGAAACATGAGCTGGGTTTCTGTCCAGTTCAAAGACAGAAGGAATTGCTAATATCTGGTAACCCACCTTCCAGCAGCACCATAGTTCTTTATTAACAAACGTGTCACTCTGAATAAGGTACACCTGCCTTACTTTTTCTTACCAATCAATCTGCCTTTAGAGCTAGCATTCATAGGAGGCACAGCCTCCCATTCTGTTACAAAAATTCTATAGTCTCCTCCAGCTTTTTCCTCTTTATCAGTTCTCAGTGAAGTGATTTATTATACAGAAATGTAATGACATATTATATGAAATGATTATAAGTATTTTAAAATTCTTTTGTTCATTTCAATAGTGAGTATTTGAGAGAAAGCTAAAACCAGTTCTGACGTTGACAGGTGGAAGGTGGTGATTGAGTTAGCATCACTGCATTCATTTTAAACCACTTGTAGAAATGGAACATTATTTAGTTGCTCAGATCTGAAATCGCCAAATATACACATTTGTTTTGAGAAGATGACAGCAATTCTTCAAATTAACAGTGAAAATGTTAAGCCCCCAGAAGACATTTCGGCTGTTTTGACAGAGTGGCTTGAGTGCTATGTCACCTCATTAAACCCAGTCAAGTAAGGGAAGAAGAGGTTGATGAGGTCATAGCCCAGGAGTGAGGTCACCAGCTAAATCTGACTTCATAGCAACAAAAATTTGACTGATGAGAAGTTGTCCCCAGGTTAGAGATTAACATCCCTTTGCCTAAATGAGTCTTTCAGGTCAAGGAAGGAAATTTGTCAGCTAGACTCTCTCAGCTTACTCACAGTGGCATGTGACTAATAGCACTTTGTAGTCTGTTGTGAAGGATATAATAATTAACTGGCCATTCAAATCCTAGAAAGGTCACATTAGCAGCCCCTAAAGGTGCTTCAGAGCCAAAGCAGTGGAGTGTGAAATTTTAATTCTACCATGAGCTCAGAGAATGATTAAAGTCAGAAGTAGTGAAGTGGGGGAACGTGGGAGGGGGAGGGAGGTTGGGGATAATTGGGTGGGGGGCATTGGGTACAATTGCAATTTGTGGTAATGGGCATGCTGCCAGTATGGATCTGGCTGTCACATCTTGGGCACGAGGAGTGACAATCAGCTTTGTATCTCATGAATATTCATAACAAATAAAAAAGAAGGAAGTGATCTATGGATGCTTAAAAATGAAGTTCAAGATTCTTAGCATTATCAATAAATAACAGGGGTAGGCACATATAATTGTGGGTAGCCAAAAAAAAAAAGAAGTTTGATTTTGCTATTTTTTTAATAAGTCAACAAAAGTATAGTTGGGCTAATGAAAATACTAGTTATTAACTGTAAATTTTGAAAATGAATGCTATGTTTAAGAGTTCAGGAGGCTGTCTGATCATAAATACTTCAAAGAGCATGCTATTAATTCAGGCCAATCAATAATACAGCATAACCCTCCAGTTAAGTTACTATTGAGAAGAAATTTATTCACTAGTTTTATTCCCACTAAATCCATATCCAAAAGTTTGGAAATATATTATAACAAAATAGGTTGTCTTCTTTTTATCAAAATATTATTTATTACTCAAACATTTCTAAAGCAATAACCTGTTATGACTCTTTAATTGATTTAGTAGAAAACTGAATATTTACTGACATTTCTTGGAAACTTGCAACCAGCCCACAGGAAGGAATCCAACATCATCACTATGTGTTTTTCTTAACTTGACAGGAAGTCAACATCAAGCAGATTGACTTGAATCGGGATCCCATTTGTGAAGCACAAGTGTCCGATAAACTGTGTTATTTTTTATTTGGAAAATAGTTGATTTCCAGTATCTTATCATCCTATATTTTATTTTCTGAAAACCTGGCAATCCCATGTGGACTTCTGGTAGAATGAGCAATGCAAAGAGCTGGCTTGGACTTGGCATGTCCTTGTACTTCTGGGGATTGATGGACCTTACGACCACCGTTCTCTCGGGCACCCCACCACCACAAGGCGAATTAGCAGCTTTCCTTTCAGACAAGCCACAGTCACATCAGCGAGCCAAAAGGAGCTGGGTTTGGAACCAGTTTTTCGTTTTGGAAGAGTACACTGGGACTGACCCTTTATATGTCGGCAAGGTAAGAAGGGCCAAGTAGAAAGGTAAATTGTTGGGGTATCAGATATTGAAATTGGATATGAATGGGAATTGAATATGAACGCTCACCTCACCTGTGTTTGAGGCCTGAGAACATTTCTAACTAGTAGCATGTTACTTGATACCCAGCTGAAATTGAACTTTTGCTTTGTCAGATACCAGTCAGACAGAAAAGATCTCTCTCCTTGTTCATGCCTCTGTTCTGACCAAGAAAAGCTAGGAATCGGGTTATGGAGGAAAAGCCTCAGATCCTGCAAGTGCCATTCAAGTCCCCAAAGATGCAGCACCAGCTTTCCGGGAATGACAGAATAGGGAAGGAAAAAACTGGGAAATGTAAATGAGGAAGTAGAGGCTTTTTTGCTTTGTATTTATTTATTTTTTTCTCAAAGCATTTCCACGTGTATATTCTAAGGGCCAAAGTTAATGGAAAAATAAATAAATAAAACAGTCTTCGTTTCAGAAGATTCTAGCATGTGCTTTAGCATGGTTGGAGACAATCAACAAATTTATTTATAAACGTTATACTCAGATCCCCTCGATTTATCTATCATCATTTCATTTTTAATCCTGGCTTTCTCCTGTATTTACTTTATTTGGATGTTAATCAGAGACCATTTTGTGAAAGCAAGCAAGTGAGAGAGAATGGGAGACAAGGAACTAATTAGAAAATAAATAATTCATCCGAATGATAGCTTATACACTTATTTAGCACAGAGGCTCAGATTCAAACACATGTGAGTTCAAAGCCTAGCCCAGCCAGTTACTTCCAGAGCAACTCTGGGCGGGTCACCAAGCCGCGTAGGCCTCCGCTTCCTCAGATGTTGCATGGGGAGAATACGACGACTCCTGCTACTTCTCAGCATTGTCTACACAGCTCTTTCCTCAACGCCCACTCACTTCTTAACCCAGTTATTTGACCCTGTTTCCACCACACAATACAGCTGTGTTTTCACCACTCCTCAGGACCTCCCTGCCACCCAACCCAATGGCTTCACTTTAGAGACCCTCCAATCACACCTTGGACCCCATTGACTGCTCCCGGCTTCTTGACCTACTCCCCTCCCTCCACATCATGACCACCACCATCCCGTTTTTCCCCTTTTTCCCAGCCTCCTTTGCTGGTCCTATCCTTCCACCTGACCCCAGTCATTGGTGGGCTTGGTGGCTTTGCCCTGGGCCTCTGCCTCTATGCCAACAAATGTAAAACCTTCATCTCTGGCTTTGACCAAGCTTCAGACTAATAAATCCTCCTGCATATGTGACATCTCCATGTTTATGACTCAGAGGCTTTTCAAACGTTGTGTGTCCAGTAAGGAACTTTTTTTTTTCCCTGCCAAACCCAGCCTGCCCCTATGTTAGCACTGCCATTGCCCAGTTCCTAAAACCAGAGACCTGGTGGACACTCTCCCCTTTCCCTTGCTCCCACATTCTCTCCATCTGCAGTTCTTTTAGTCCTGTGCCAGAATAAATCCCAAATCCTTCATTTGTCTAATCTCCACTTCCACCATTATCTCTCTCCTGGGCAAATATCCAGCCTCCCAACCAGTGTCCTCAGGCCGCCCGCACCTCCTTCCAACCTATTCCACACACTTGATCTTTTCAGAAAGTAAATCAGATCACATCACTCCTCTACTTACATCTCTTCAATGTCTTCCCATTGTATGAGGATACTTCAAAGAGTTTATGGAAAATTTCTGCTATCTTTCAATTCTGTTTTTTCTGGAACGTATGCTGAGCCCTCCGAGCTCCTCCCTGGGGCTTACAAGGCCATTCCTTTGGGGCCCAGCCTGCCTCCTGCGTCAGACCACACTCCACACTGCTCCCTCCCTTGCTCTCGAGCTCTAGGCACACGCCCTCATCCTCAGCAGTTCCTACAAGTTGCCCCACGGTGCCTTCGCCTTCATTGTTCCCCCATAATGAAGTGCCCTTCCCCCGGCTTCACTCATGCTTGGCTCCTCTTCGTCCTGTGGGGCTTGTTTTAAATCTGAGCCTTCCTTGACTATTCTCTAAGGTCTGTTAAACTCTCTCACCACCATTATTGCTTTCACAGATCTAATCACAACCTACAATATTTAATTTAGTTTTTATTTACATGTTTATTGTCTGAAGCCCTGACTAGAAGCCCAGTGAGAGCAAGAACATTGCTCCCATTCACCCTCAAGGCCTAACACAGCACCTATCACATAGAAGGTGCTCAAAACAATACTTAAAGAATGAGTAAATGTATTAATATTTCATGGCTCAGTAAAGATTAAATAAGCTAACACATGTCCAGAGTTTAGCCCAGTACTTGGTCCAGAATAAGGCCTTAATCAACCTTACCCCGTAATAGTAAATGGTAGTGACAGCAGTAACAGTGGTACAGGCATATTTGTATAGTGTTTCTTCCAACTACACATACACACGTACTGCTAAAATAAGTTTAAGAAAAGAATAGTTTTGTATTCAGTAATTGCTTTGTGTTCGTGTACAATTTAGGGCTCCCTTTCTCCCAAGGATAGAACCTGAGATGCTGCTCCCCGACCTTGTCTATACCTCCCCAACACTGAGTACCAAGCACAGAACCAGCCACACAAAAGTGCAAAAAGACAAGGGTAGTTAGCATTTACTGGCTACCACAGTGCTGTGTGTCATCATCTAATCTTTACAACAATGCTGTGAGGTAAGTATAATTAGCTAGACTCACAGAGGTTATGTTTATTTTCCAAAATTACACCAAAGGTAAGCAGGTGCATTAGTCCATTCCTGTTGTTTAAACAGAATGCCTGAAAGTGGGTTAAATTATAAAGAAATTAAATTTATTTTGTACAGTTTTGGAGCCCACAGTACAGGGGACACATCTGATGAGGGCCTTCTTCTACAGTAACACAGGGGGTCACTTGGTGAGAACAGGCTGAGCAAGAGAGCAAACCTGCTCACTCGCTCTCCTTTAAAAGCCATCCCAACCATGCCCATTACTCCATGAATGGATCAATCCATTCAAGAGGGCTCAGTCCTCACAATCTAATCACCTCTTAAAGACTCCACCTTTCAAATACTGTTATTGGATTTCCCACACTCTAAACACTGTTACTGTGGGTAAAAAGCTTCCAATACATGAACTTTTAGGAGACACATTTAACCCACAGTAGCAAGTAGAGCCTGGATTGAAATATCCATCACTCTGAAACTGAAGCCATGGGTTTTCCTTTACATTGTTTTGTATGTGGTCTATGGCTTTAGACATAGCCCTGAGAGCACACAGAAGAGTCAATGGTGTTAAGGTGGGGTCAGGAATCTAAGCAAGCCTGACCGCTTCCTGAACCCTCTCTCTCTGACGCTGGTGAGTACTTAACTATGTAGCACCTCTACTACTCATGATTAGTGCTCAACCTTTCCTAATTACCCCAACCCACGACACGGGACACCTATGCACCTCAACAGTCATCTGGTCCAATCAACACATTGGCAACCCTGCATCGAGTGTATTAGCTCCCCATGAATAATTATCTATTTTTTATACTGTATACTATATATTAGTTATATATTCACTTATCCACATATTTTTCCCCTTTACTTTGTTTTGAAAGAGAATCCATCCACCTTTCATTCTCTTTACCCCAGGGGCATTCAGCTTGTCACCTTGAGCTCTGGAAGATGTTTGTGTAGAGAGCCTGCCAAAGTATTTGCTTACTTCAGAAAGGAGTGAGGCAACAATTATCAGCCGTAATTGGTATGGCCTTATAAAATCCACATTGAGCTTTCCAGGGACAACTTGGTGTCCAGTTAAAGCTAGATTATATTGACATATGCAAAGGGGGGGATGCAGAGAGCTTGTGCTTGTGCATGAATCCGTGGGTCCAAGACATGTGAGGTTAACAACTACACGGAAGCTATCTAACCACAAATTGTAAGCATCTATTGCATTCCCAGAACTGTACGAGGCACTCCAAGAGATAATAAAAGGAGTAAAACTCACCCATGTCTTTAACATCCTGTATCTACTAAGGTTTTTCAGAACCTGCATGTATATCATTCATGCAGAAGAATGAAGATCTTAAAGACTAAAGAATTATTAGGATAAGTGAAACATTCAGCTGTTTTTTTCTGTGTAGGAGACGTTTGGAGGAAAAAAAAAAATGCTTTCCCCGTATGTACGTAACTGTGCTACCAATTCCATTCCAGAAGCTTCTTACCCTCCTCCAAATAGCTGGTGTTGAGTGTTTGAATTAAATATGGATAAATATAAAACACATTTTTATTACACTGTCAATGTGCTGAATGACTTGGAGAAAAGCTGTTAATGTCTTTCTTTTGCAATTTTCACAACGAAATGTGTATTCTATGGCTGGTAAACGCGCATGTTAAATGTGCATTACTGTGTTGGTTGCTAAGCTTGTCTCTCTCAGCTGTGTATTCACTTTTCTATACTCTGCTTTGTGCTGCTGGGGCTGGGATTCTGCAAGCCACAACTTCTTTTCCAACTGGCTCCACTCCCTGATAGTCTCTGCACATAGAATGTACTAGAGGAGCCCAGGAGGTAGGAAGAGGGAGAAGGGACTTGCTCCTTTTATCCTGCCAGCATTTGGTTCCAGTTTCTGGGTTTCTCCACACTCCCAGTTTCATCACATCCCCTCAGAAATACCAGCACCACTGGAAGGCACCCCATTCTCAGAGCTCTGACTCCCAGATCTGCAGGATTTGTGGGGGTGTGGAGGGTGCCTCCTGTAAGCTCCTGAAGCACCAGTCCCAGGACACAGCACTCCCTCCACAGAAGTCTCAGGCCCAGCCTCGAAGGGCCCCTCCTGCAAACATTTAGATGCCAAGAGCCCCAACCTCCACCCTCTGTTCCCCCAGACAGAAGGGCCCTGGCTGTTTCCTGGAGTTATATCTCTCTGATACTTCAGTGTTTCCTTTTTGCCATTCAGTTCTCCATATTTAATTCTCTCTGTTAAAATACTGTGTAGATTCTCTTCCCTGACTAGATCCTGAACTGGTACAATTATATTCCTCAGAAATCAGTTCTGTGTGAGCAGATCCTGGCCCCTTCATAGCTGATAACTCTTCTTGCTCATAAGAGGACCCACTAGCCTTTCTGTGGGTGTCCTCTCTCTCCCTCCTCTTCCCCCACACCCACCCAAAAGATGTTTTCTAGCTCCTTTAAAACGAAGGCAACATGGGTCCACAAAAAAGGCTACTAACACACCCATCTCTTTAGCCCTATCCCTACACCATTCTTTCAGTAACATTTTATTGAGTACATACTACATGTCACAACCCACACTAAGATGAAGGTCACAAAGTCCCTGCCTTCAAAGAACTCAGTCCAGAGAGTTCCTCAAAATCCTCTCCCAATACAGATGAAAGGAAAGATAACAGATCTGAGCTTCAGCCCAGATTCTGTTTGACATCAGCCAACCTTGTTACCCTCAGGAACTGGGGTCTCCTCTTTGGCAGCAGTGCGCTTCTGTATTTATTAAGAACTGTCCATGGGCAGAGCACTTACACTTGGCCTGTGACACTTACAAGGGTGCTTAGTTTTTAAGGTTCACAAGACAAAACTTTTAGGTAATAAACAGAACTCAAAACAGTCCTGGGTATGTACTTTATGTCAGCTCCTATTTTTCCCCCTTAGGTAATCTGCCACGCCCTAAATTAACCTATTTCATTCTAAGGCCAATGCCACACACCTTATAATTACACATGTATTTTATATATATATACACACACGTAAACACACACATATGTGGGGCTACCTCAGAAAGTTTATGGAAAGATTCATATTATCTTTAATTCTATTTTTCCACAAAAAAAGTTTTTGAAGTATCCTCATACACATGTGTTTGTGTTTGTGTATTTTTTTTTATTTAAAAAAACACCCTGAGGTCCTTGTCCTTCTCCTCCCAATTCCATTCCTCTGCCTGGAAGACAGTTCCAAATGAAATGGATTTTCATTTCTTTGTGCCCAGGTTTGAATAAAATGGCTTTCTCTTCTGTGCATTAAGAGCTGGGCACCTCTGCTTTTTTAACTGCATAAATAGAAGATTTGGATTGTAAAATAATAATGATAATAATACTGTATATGGAATGAGGAAATGTGAGACCTTTATATTCTAAATAGAATACTTTAAGTAGAAAAAATCCCCAGCTATTTTTTCGGTCAATTTTATTCTCATTTCCCTTCTCTAGATAAGACACAGCTGAGTTCCTCGAGGCAGCAAAACCACAGCCTGAGAGATTTGGCCATGAGTCAGTTTGAGATCAGCTCAAAGCCAGCCACAGCCTCCAAACCCATCCCTGTCTGAGGATGCTGTGATACATTTTAAAGTGTCTTCTTGGTGTCCCTCTTGTTTAATCTCAGAGTAGCACTGTCCCAGCCATGCTTCAGGCGCACTTCTGGAGTTTTACCATTGGACAATGAACAACAAAAAAGCCAACAGGTTGTTTTTTCCTTCTCTGCTCCGCTCCTGGAGGTTTGAAGGGAGTAGTGAAGAGATGGGTGTGTTAGTATCCTTTTCTCTATGCACGTATATCATCATCATAATCGGCCCCATTTATAGCATTCCTATTATGGGAAAGGCACTGTACTAGATGCTTTACATAGATTAATATCTAATGATCTCAACAACCCTTCAAAATAAGTATTAGTGTTGTTCTCCAGATTTATAACATGAGGAAATGAAGAGTTATAAACATTAAATAATGTGTCAAGGGCAATCAATTTATAACTGACATAGGCAGTGTTCGGGCCAGAGTCATTTGCCTTCCTGCCCTGAGTCTAACACTAATCTCAGGAACTTCATCTCTGAACTACACAAAGTATTAACAACCCAGGCAGCCATAGAGTCAGTGGTGGCCCACTAAATTTAACTAATTTTCTGTTCCCCCTTTTAAAAAGGGGCTGTTACCTATAGGATAGCACAAAATTTCAAGGTTGCCACCCATATGCATTTCTAGGCCTGAGATAAAAATAGTGCTCCCTGGACTGGCCAGTTAGATCACTTGGTTAGGGCATGGTGCAGGTAACAGCAAGGTCAAGGATTTGGACCCTTGCACTGGCCAGTGACAAAAGAAAAAAAAAATCTGATAAATACTTTTAAAAAAGCAGTGTTCCTGGACTCCTTTTGAGAGTTATTATAAAGGAGTCTGGGAGCAAATATAGTTGGATGGGGAGATAAAAGTATGTCCCTAACTCAACCACCCAGATAAAGATTTGAATAATTCAATTATGAACACAAGAACTAGTCCCACCAAAAGGAGAGATATAATAGTGTGAAGAACAATAACCAGCAGTTCAATTCCATCTGACACCTGATACATAAGCAAACATGGTCCTGCTAAATCAAACTGTAGAGCTGGGACCAGAGTTGCAAGAGTCCCTGGAGGTCCTTTGGTATTCCCACTACAGTGACTTTAGCCCATTTATGAGTTACTTAATCAGTTTTTCAGCCAAATTGAATTGTCATAAAAATTTCTGATACTCTAAAAATTAATTTATAACATTTTTTAAAATTTTAAGTTGTTTAGGCTTGTCCATTTTGTTTTTGTTATTTTTTTCTCAAATGGTAAAGCTGTGTTCCTCCTTATTAGACTGGCTTCTATGTCACATTGGGGATCTATACCTTCCAGAGCTCCTGTTTTCTATACTTCTCAGGAAGAGGAATTTTTTAAAAAATAATAGTAAGTTCAGGATACTAAACATGACGTGGAAAACTTTACTTATACATTAACTATATTTGCTCTTTAATACAATTCCTGTGTGAAGGAGGGTCACAGATTTGTACCAAACTGAAAATCAATTTATTGCCAATACCTGTTCACATCCATAATGAGCTTTTGGTGCTTCCCCCCCTCCCCCAGCTTCATTCAGATATGGACAGGGGAGATGGATCTATCAAATATATACTCTCAGGAGAAGGCGCAGGCCTCGTATTTACCATCGACGACACCACTGGAGACATCCACGCCATCCAGAGACTCGATCGAGAGGAAAGAGCCCAGTATACCTTAAGGGCCCAAGCCCTGGATAGGAGAACAGGCAGGCCAATGGAGCCAGAGTCCGAGTTCATCATCAAAATCCAAGACATCAATGACAATGAGCCCAAGTTCCTGGATGGACCTTACATTGCCACTGTGCCAGAAATGTCACCAGTGGGTAAGCTGGTGATTCACCAATTTTCACAAGTAGCAGCTGCTCTACAGAAGTTCTACATATCTCTGTCTGTGTATGTATATATATCTTTATACATGTGCAGAGAAGGAGAGAATGTGAGCAACAGCTCACAAATTATAAAACTGAACCAAAAATGACAACCAAGTCCTCCAGCAGAAAGGAAGCTACTTAGACATTGAAATCAGCTTTAGTAAATAATAATAATAACAAGCCTGGTATTGTTTTTCATTCGTTAAAAACGAGAGCGGGGGGGGGGTGGATAATGTTTGATTCAGAATGAAGTATTTTGATATTATCAAAGAGCAATGAAGAACCCAAAGGCTGTGTTGTCCTTCCTGGCTATTAAGAATTTAGAACACAAATAACTTTCGTCCCCACTAATAGGCACAAGGTAGGAGTTATGAAAGCTTCACTTAGAAAGGGGACTCTCCCAACAAAGCAAACATATCATCTGCAAATGCTTTCAGATTGAACATTCAGGACTGCATGTAGCCTTTAACAATTGGACTTGAACAGGTCTCCACCACTTCTCTTCCTCAGGTACCTCTGTTATCCAGGTGACAGCCACAGATGCTGATGACCCGACCTACGGCAACAGTGCCCGGGTAGTGTACAGCATTCTCCAGGGACAGCCATATTTTTCTGTGGACTCCAAAACAGGTATCTGATGCAAGAGTCGAGTCAAAGGTGTTTGTTTTATTCCTTAATAATTTATAATTGCTGCTTAGGCTAGATCCAACTCTCCTTTTCAAGGACTCTCCAGGGAGTGTATTAACCAGGGAAGATTTTTATAAGCTTTAGGATTAAGAGGACAAACTAGCACTGCCCTGATGGATAAGAGCAGCACTGTTCATAGTGTGTAGCGCCTGATTAGAGAGGCCAAAGGCCTGACTGCACAAAACTACCTCCTCACTAGGCTTCAAAAAATTCTATGCTTATATTTCTTTCCAGTGACTAAGGTCTTTTATAACTCCAAGAAGACCTAAGAGGATTGACACATCCACCTGGGCTCACTACAGAACTGGAATCATTGATTTTGAAAGTAGAAAGAGCCTTTGGGGAATCAGCCAGTCCATTGCCATTTACTTAACAGATAAAGAAACTAGGAATTGAGAGCTAACAAAGTCCATCTAGTTGTAGATCCATCCCTTGTCGTGAGATCTGATGTCCTTTCCACTGACAGTCTGTACTAAGCAGAGAGCAAGGCCAGAGTGAGTGGTTTCTGGAGCAGACAGGTTTTGATGACGGAGGAAAGAGCACATGAGATGGGGCCCCCAAAATGGTTGGGAAGTTCTAACAGGAAGGACAGCAGAGAGAACTGAACGGGTAAGGAGCAATGTAGCAGAAAAGGATAACCCAACAGAAGTTTGGTTAATTGTTTCAGTTTTACCTGAGAATTTTGATTACAGAATTTTTCTGTTTTAACATATAAAGGATTCTCTTTAATACTTTTTTTTTTTTGGCGGCTGGCTGGTATGGGGATCCAAACCCTCGACCTTGGATATAACACCATGCTCTAACCGAGCTAAACAGCTAGCCCTCTTTAGTATTTTTGAGTTAAGCAGAGTAATTATTATTATTATTATTTTGCACATGTGCCAGGCTGTCTTTTAAAATACTTTCACAAACATTACCATACTTGAGCCGCCCAATAATCTTGTGAACTATCTACATATATAGGAAATATTATTACTCCCATTTTATATAAAGGACAATAGAGGACCTAAGAGTAATTAACAAGGAACTTAAGTAAAGAAACTTACAGCCACAGAGGTAAAGTCAATGGTGTATACTCAGCACCTCTTTATTTGAAAGAGAAAAAAAGCATTTTCTATTATTAGCAACTCAATAGAATATTGTTTTCCCAGAAGTCCTAAGGGGAATCAGGTATTTAGAAAATTGTATCATGAAAGTATAAAGTGAAGGAGCGTAAATTAGTAGGAAAGAAGAAAAAAGATTGCAGTTAAGAACTTCTATAAAACAGTAACTTTAATGGGGCCGGCCCAGTGGCGCACTGCTACAGTGCGCCGCTTGGGAAGTGCGGTGGCGCTCCCGCCGAGGGTTCGGATCCCACATACAGACCGGCCGCTCACTGGCTGAGCGAGGAGCGGGGCCAATGCCGAGGGTTGCGATCCCGTAGCCGGTCCCGGTCCGGTACGGGCACAACACTGAGGGTTGCGGTCCGTTGCCGGTCACGAAAAAAGACAGAAAGACAAAAAAAAAAACAGTAACTTTAACAATTCTACTAATGGGGGGAGGGAGAATAAAGGGGCTCCCACAGGGAGGAATAATACAGGCAGGAAGAGGGCAATGTGTCCTTTGTATCCTAAGAAGAGTCACATTATTTTGACATCTCCCAGGGGGCATCTATAGTGTTAAGGTCAAAAATACATGAAAAGATAGTTATTGCTGTGCCCATGGTCATTTTTTTAAAAAATGCTGCATACTTCACTTTAGAATGTTACTACTATAATGCAATATATACATTATAGGAGTAAGTGGGGGACAGGTGGTTGTTCCAATCCATTCCCTTTTTATGCAAAAGGTCTGTTTAGCCAAGGGCCATGTTATCAACCTGCAGTAAATAAGCCTTTAATCTTGGCCTAGAATGTATAGAAGTCAACTTTTCTAAGTTCAAGTGTTAAAAGGGAGATAAAAGATTACTGCACGTCCCTGGCAGGATCAAAACAACACATTTCATGCCCGACCCCATGGCTCACTCGGGAGAGTGCGGCGATGGGAGTGCAGTGGCGCTCCGCCGCGGGTTAAAATCCTATATGGGGATGGCCAGTGCGCTCACTGGCTGAGCGTGGTGCAGACCACACCAAGCCAAGGGTTGCGATCCCCTTACCAGTCACAAAAAAAAAAAAAAGAGAGAGAGAGAGAAAACACATTTCAGTGGATTTTGGTTTAGACCCTCTTATTTTTTTTTTAATTTTCGAAAATTTAATTTTTTTTTTTAAAGATGACCGGTAAGGGGATCTTAACCCTTGACTAGGTGTTGTCAGCACCATGCTCTCCCAAGTAAGCCACAGGCCGGCCCTGAAAATTTACTTTTAAGATGGGCCGGTTTTTATTTTTAATTTTATTTTGTCGATATACATTGTGGTTGATTATTGTTGCCCCTTACCAAAACCTCCCTCCCTCTTCCCTCTCCTCCCTCCCACCCAACAATGTCCTTTCTGTTTGCTTGTCCTATCAACTTCAAGTAATTGTAGTTGTTATATCTTCTTCCCCCGCCCCCCCCAGTTTTTGTGTGTGTGTGTGTGTGAATTTATTTATTAATTTTTAGCTCCCACCAATAAGTGAGAACATGTGGTATTTCTCTTTCTGCGCCTGACTCGTTTCACTTAATATAATTCTCTCAAGGTCCATCCATGTTGTTGCAAATGGCAGTATTAGACCCTCTTATTAAATGAAACCATATCATCACACTGTGATGCTGCTACTTAATGTCTGGAAGAGTTCATCTCTTACACATGGTAAAAACAACTCACAGAACATCTTTCATGTCCTAGCTCACGAAATTCAGTGAAACACAGAGGTAAGCAGGACATAAAACAGAATGAATATAAGACAGGAAAACCAAATCAGAATTCCAATCCTGCTTGGGAAAAAGCAGAATAGGAGTGAGTTACCTAAAAAAGAATCATTTACACTACAAAGGGTCTGGGGGCTGAAGAGAGAAAGAGCTGAAGGAGAATTATCTAAAAATCACAGATTTGTAGACATTTGAGGCTTGGTTTTCTGGACCCAAAGGCCCAGGGTTTTTTGGTAGGCAGAGCCGTTTGAAATCGCTTTGGACTGCACTTGCCCAAGTCGGTCAGAGAACCACTGCTGCCACCTCCTGGTCTCTTTCAGTAATGTTGCCAAAGGAAATCAGCCCCCTGAGCAATTCCTGCCGGAATAGTATTTATTCACCATTTGTTTCAGCACAGCACTTTATTGAAGCTGGGATTTTTACCTCAAGTTTAATAAAACATAGGTGACTTGCACCTTGGCTCCAGGCATTTAAAGTGCACAATGGAGAAAGCTAGAAACCAATCTTTTAAACACCAGACTTGTGGTTTTGTTTTTAAAGACAAAGTCACTTCTATCCTGCAGGTGTAATTAGGACAGCACTCATGAACATGGACAGAGAAGCCAAAGAATACTACGAAGTGATTATCCAAGCCAAGGACATGGGAGGGCAGCTTGGAGGACTAGCTGGGACCACGACTGTCAACATCACCCTCTCGGATGTCAATGATAACCCACCCCGCTTTCCCCAGAGTGAGTAGCGAATCAACGAGAGCACAGATCTCATGCCAGAGGGTCGCACCTGTTAAACAGGTGCAGGAGAAAGGCCAGTCTGTTTCCTCATTAAGTTCAATTGTTCCCAAGTTCCTTTCCTTCATTCATCATGCAATTCTCTCATAACCACTTCCCTTCTAAGCCGCAGTTTCCCACAGCACTAAACCAGTGTTTCTAAAACTTTTTTATTATCTCCCCCTATGGAGCCTTTTGAGACTTTTTTCCTGATCACCACATCCACTCACACACATTTGCTGGGTAGGGTTGAACTTTGGTGGGCCACAAACCATTGTAATAGCTAAGATTTTTTCACCCTGCCCCCTGCCCTCAAACCCCTATTGCCCCCTAGTGAGCGATATTATCCAATTGAAAATACATGCACTTAAATTAAGCCAAAACTGTAGATGAACACACCCACCCATCTGACCATCTTAAGCAATCAAGCACCACGCACTGTAAGGGCATTGAGCATAAGTGCTGCAAGATACTTAAAACTCAATCACTGGGGCCGGCCCAGTGGCGCACTGCTACAGTGCGCAGCTTGGGAGTGTGGTGGCACTCCCGCCGAGGGTTTGGATCCCACATACAGACCGGTTCCCGCTCACTGGCTGAGCGAGGTGCGGGCGCAGCACCGAGGGTTGCGATCCTGTTGCTGGTCCCGGCCCGGTACGGGCGCGACACTGAGGGTTGCGATCCGTTGCCGGACATGAAAAAAGACAAAAAAGGGAAAAAAAAAAAAAAACTCAATCACTGCCCCTGCGAAGCTTAAAATCCATTTGGGCAGTACCCACTCTATACACAGGAAAAGTTAACCAATAAGCAGCATTTGGTGGACCACTTGGATAGCACAAAACGATGCCTTCACAATAAACTAAGGTGAATGAAGTCTTCATAGAAGGATGAGACATCAGCAGCAGAATGGAGAATATAAAGGATTTATAGAGGCAGAAAAGAAAACACTCCAGAAGGGGAAAGCCATTCGTTCATGCAAAAAAATATTTATTGTAATCACCATTCTAGGTATGGGACACAGAATAATGTACAAAACAAACAAAATCTCTGCTCTCTTACAGCTCATTTGAGTTGAAACCTGCATGTAAGAAATGTGTGTATCTGAAAATAAAGTTGCTAAAGTCATTTTATATTCAAAGACCCCTAAAATAGAGACCTGCTCTTTCAAATGTGTTTCATTTCTAATGGAAGACCTGAAAAGCTTTTGAGCAAGAGAGAGACACAGAGAAAGGCTAATTTGGTAACCAGGTAAAGAGTGGGTTGGCAAGGGTAGAGACCAGAAGGAGGGGACTCTGTTAGGAGGCTTTTAGAGTGGTCCAGAATTGAAATGATACGGACTTAAGGAAATGGCAGGAGGAGTGGAGTGGGACAAATAAGAAAATGTTGGCTCCTGCCTCTTGATTTCTTGGCTAAGGAAGGAAGCTGAGGCCGAGGGTGGAGTCAAGGATGACAATGTTTTAAGTCTGGATGACAAGGAGCATTGTACTGGTAGAAATAGAGGAAGCATAATGGAACCAGTGGCAGACAAGAAGGGAGACAAATTCAGATTTGAATATGAAGTGACAACAGGACAATCAGGTTGAATGTCCTTAAGGAAGGTGGAAATATAGAGCTATGACTGTGAAATGAAGCCCAGGAATAGAGACGTGAGTTTGAGAAGCAGAAGCCTGAAGGGAGTAGTTGGAGGAGTGAGAGCAGCAGACACAATTCCATGTGAAAGATTTAACCAGAGAAATGGGGTTTTAAAAAAACTAAACTAGAAATAGAGTCAAACCAGATTATCAGCTGAACAGCTGCGTTTCGAATCAGCCAGACCAAGCGGGCCCTCCATTTCATCTGTGTAAATACAGCGAGAGCTCAAATATTTACATGCAACTGGTACACACAAAGTCCCCACAAGCATTCATGAAACAAAAGGCGGGATACTAGATAAGCATTTCACAAGTGGTACAAGTAAAGAGGTTACTGAGTTGAGTGCTCCTACAGTGCAGAACACTACAACATCGTGGAAGTTTGTGAAATGCCGTATGGATTAACTGTTGCTTTGCTGATCCTGGGGGTTCCATCGTTGTTACTTCATGAATGGCTCACAGTGTGCACGCTGTAAACTAGATTCTTGAACATCCTTAAACTTTTAGGCTTTCTTCAACTTGGCACTAGAAAGTTATCTCTGATGTTGGCAGAAGGGGCAAAATAACCAAGTTATTACAGGGTTTATAAGTATATGCATTTGGACATGTTGTAGGAAAGTCATGTCACCCCAAACACGGCAGCTTCACAATAGCATAACCGTGGTTTTAGTCTTTCCCCCAGACCAACATCTTACCATTCTAAAGCATGCATTTTGAGCTGTGATTTTTCCAAAATATAGTAATAAGGGAGAATCTAGGACAGAGTGAAACTATGGATTATGTTTCATGGAAGACAAAATGGAAAATGTATAAAAGTAATTTAAATCTCTGTGTCTCTAAGCATTCTTCACACATTATCACTTCTTCCTCTAAAATGGTCATTATTTTGAACTTTTTAAAGAATTTGCTTTATCTCATCATTAAATATTCCCCCATCATTTGCTAAAATTAAGTTTAGATGATCTCACTATTCCATAAACTTATCATGGATAAACTCTTCTGGCTTATTAATCTTCTGACTCCTCATTGAAGGAATTCCATTTTCTTTCTTTTTCTCAAATATTACCATAACTGATTATAGGATGTTGACAAAATGACACATCTACTATTTTACATTGAACAAGCTCAGTCACCTTTTTTTTTTTTTTTCCTTTTTGTCTTTTTTCGTGTCCGGCAACGGGATCGCAACCCTCAGTGTTGCGCCCGCACCTCGCTCAGCCAGTGAGCGGAACCGGTCTGTATGTGGGATCCGAACCCTTGGCAGGAGCGCCACCGCGCTCCCAAGCGGCGCACTGTAGCAGTACGCCACCGGGCCGGCCCAAGCTCAGTCACCTTTAATTGAACAACATATAATAGAATATCAAGATCTCAAGCTATTTACTATAAATAAATGCATCAGATGTAGAAATCGTATGTGTATGTTTAAACACTTAACACAGCTTTCCTGGTGTGAAGAAAATTAGACAGATGCTTTTTTGTTTTTCTCAAAAGTTCTGCAATAGTAAAGTATAATCCATCTACAACTTTAGAAGTGAATGGAGAGAGATCATGAAATCCAAATGCATGCCAGCTTAGTACAGACATTGGAGATTTACCTGCTCATATTTGTAAAGGACAGTCATTATTTCTTCTCCTGCACAAGGTAGGGTGCTGTGAACTGGCTGAGTGCCATCAGCCTCCCCGAATCTTTGTGAAACTCAAGCCCTCATACCCCATAGCTTACAATACATATTAGAATAAAAGAAATCAAGTACTTATTGAAAATGTGATTGTGTGATTTTTCTCTGTTAGTCATTTACATTATGATTGACAAAATAACAAAGAATGAAAAAATTGAGCCCCAGAGAAGGTAAGTTAGCAAAGATAAAATTTCATGGAGATGAAAACGAACTAAATTTGTGAATTCAGGATATCAAGTCAAAGAGGAGAAGGTTACCAACTCTGAGCTTATTCTATTCTGGAACAAGAAAACAAGCAGCATCATGGTCTGTCCATGAACAGGCAGCCAAGGGGCAGTCTCGGGTGCAAGGACACATTGATGGACAATACATGGAGCTAGTGGAGCTCACTCTCAGTGCTGTTGCTCCTTCATAGATCACTGGTCTCTGTTAGCTCTGGGCAGGTGGTTGTAGATAAGAGGCACTCAGCACGCTGGCCAGGCCATGAAGAGAAAGGTGGGCATTTGAAATGTAAACAAAATAAACATGTGTTTTGTGACCACCAGAAGGAATTGCCATTTGGGGAAATATTTCAGTTCATCACGAAGTACTAAAAAATTGGAAAGCAAGGTACTGCCGGACTAGCTGGTTAGCTCAGTTGGTTAGAGTGTAGTGTTATAATACCAAGGCAGTCAAGGGTTCGGATCCCCTTACTGGCCAGCCAAAAAAAAAAAAAAAAAAGAAAAAAAAGAAAGAAAGCAAGGTACTTCCTACACTCTGAAGGTAGATTCACCGAGATGAAAAATAGCTTTTATTCTGTCTCACTCTTAGGATTATGGTCAAGCTATTTTGACTCCTCCTTATCAAACATCCAGTACAGATTATGATCTGTATGACTATTTGGTCAACCTCTCTGGACCCCAATTTTTCATCTGTAGAACTCACATTTTAATTTTTGAACCAAGAAAAAGATGTTTTGCACAGCATGCCTGATATACTATGATAATGACGAGGCTTTTTTTTTAATAGTGACAGATTATCAAGAATGCATATTCTTGCTTTTCTTTATAGAACATTATCAGATGAGTGTGTTGGAATCAGCTCCAATTAGCTCCACCGTAGGGAGAGTGTTTGCCAAGGACTTGGATGAAGGAATCAATGCAGAGATGAAATACACTATTGTGGATGGAGATGGTGCAGATGCCTTTGACATTAACACAGATCCTAACTTCCAAGTCGGCATTATCACTGTGAAGAAGGTAATCTAACTCCTTTTTCCAAATCGTTTTCATGGATGCTTTGAATATATATAAAATGCTAGTAAGAGCTGTTGTACTATTGATATGTATTGCTTCAAGTCCTTTGATAAAAGCTCTTTCCTATTATTTAAAAAAAAAACTGATACTCCTTGTGCTTATATTCAGAATACTAGCTGCGCCATCATTTTACAGAAAAGGTGTCAGGTCATAATAAAAATATAAATATGTCATTTCTCCAACTTAGCCACTTAAAAAACTTATAGTCTAATTCTCTGATATCAATGACTTGATCAATATTTGCACTTGAATACTTGAATAACACACATTCTTTACCATAATGTATCACAAATAGCAATAAAGCAAGACATAATATTATGTGTAAATCAATAAGTAACATGCAGGGATTTTTTAATTGCTTCTTGAAGACCCATAAATGCTACTTAAACTTGAAAAAACTTCATCAAACATAGCAGTTGAGGTATTGTTATCCCTTGAAATTCCTTTGTTTCATGATAAGGTACCAGGTTTTCTGAATGTAAGCGATCGATCCTTTCTGTAACATAAAGCACATACGGATATATACTCAGCTGGGAGATTAATTTTTTTTTAAACTGAAGCTTTAACGCTCTTGTAAATATAGACCTGATGAAATACATTAACTAAAAAGCGCATTAATGTAATCTTCCTTCTCTATTTTAAATGCATTTAAAAATTCAAGATATCCTAAATTATTTATTCAACAAATATTTATTGAGTGCCTACTGGTGCCAGATATTGTTCTAGGCATTTAATGTAGAGAATAAAGAAAACAACCAAAAATCTCCACCCTCATGGAGCTTACATCCTAGTAAGAAAATAATCAAAATAGCAAGTCAATAAAGTAGTATTAAGACACTGATAATGGCTATGTGGCTGGGGCAAAACAGAACAAAATAAGTGAGATCACAAGAACCAAGATGGCTTCAACTTTAAATTGGATAGTTGGGAATGACCTCACAGAGAAGCGACATTTATGCAAAGATTTACAGTGAGCAGAGTCACCTCATAGAGTTGGGCAAGTTAACAGTGCACAACCCTGGGCAGTGCTCTATAAATGACTTCTGGTGAGAAGTATACATGGAGAGGAGAGCATGGGCATGTAGCTATTGAGGAAAGTGTTCCAGGCAAAAGGACAGCCAATGTAAAGGCTCTGAGGTAGAACCATGCCTAGTGTGTTTGAAGAACAGCAAGGTGGTTTATAAGTCTGAGTAGAGGGGGAAACTCTTAGGAGATGAGGTCAGAAAAGTAACAAACAGACCTTATAGCCTAATTGTATGGACTTTGGCTTTTACTCTGAGTAAAGAGGGAAATGACCGGAGGATTTTAACAGATGTGTGACATGACTGGGCTTTTATTATAAAATAATTACTCTATAGGCTGTGTTGAGAAAAAACCATAAAGAGGCAAGAATGGAAACAGGAAGACCAGTTGAGAGGCTACTGCAATAATCTGAGTAAGAGATAATAGTGGCTTGGCCTAGGATAGTAGGAATGGAGGTGGTGAGAAGTGCCAGAATCTGTATGTATTTTGAAAGTACTGCCCACAGGATTTCCTACAAGATTGAATGAGGATATGAAAGAGAAGAGTCCACTGACCAACAAAAAGAATGTAATTGCCATTAATTGAGACAAGGAAGTCTGCAAGTGGAGCAGGTGGCAATGGGTGTCAAGTACTGGGATTCAGTTCTGGACATATAGCATTTGCAGTGTCTACTAAACACCCAAGTAGAGATGTGCAGTGGCTTTGGTTACAGGAGTCAGGAGTGTGGAAAAGAGTTCTGGGCTGGAAATATAAATTTAGGAGTCATAAGTATATAGATGGTACTTATGGCAAATAAAATAGAATGAGATTTCAAGGGTCTGAGCAGAGACATAAAGAGGACATTCAAATGAGCCCTGAGGTACCCCAACATGCAGAGATCAGGAGAAAAGTAAGAACAAGCAAGGAGACTGAGAGGCCGGGGAGGCAGGACGAAAGTCAAGGGAGCATGGCATCCTGAAGGCATGAAGAAAGTGTTTCCAGGAGAAGGGAGCGATCACCTGTGCCAAACGCCACTGGAAGGCAAATACAAACACTGAAAATTAACCATAGACTTTTGGAATATAGAGGATGTTGATGACTTTGACAGAAGCAAAAAGTTCATAACTTAAAATGTGGCATAAGTTAATGTGTGTTTGTAATCACTTTATTCTATGTTGTTTCACAGAATTGAATTAACACTGCTTTAGAATAAAAGAAGGAATGAGTTCATATGCTTGTTCTGTATTTATTTAAGGTACAATCAAATACAACACAGGAACAGATATGTCCAGAATTCCACCAACCAGAAATCTTTATAATCAGCACACAGTGACCTCAAAACAGTGCAAAATGCTGAAGTTAACTTCTGACTAGTCAATTAAATGTAGATGTAATTTAAGTATTATAATTTCTTATTTTATTCTCATTCTTTGAAAATTAACAACATACACTAGCATTATAAAAGGTGACTACAAATAATAACACCAATTTAGCATAAAACATAGGATTAAGAACATTCTCTCCTATATGGCAGGCCTCAAGTAAACAATAATACATTGTTAACCATGACTAGTAAGTACAAATTAGGTAAATGCTCAAGTTTTGAATAATTATTGCTCCTTTAATGCAAAAATTCAGCAATCACAAAAAGAGCTTTGGAGAGTCTCGATATTTTTAAATTTTATATCTTAAAATTATATATAAGATAATTCAAATGAATAAAATAATACTGCATTTATTTATGTCAAATTATCACCATATAGTGTAGACCTTATTACAGCCATTCATTTTTTAAAATCCATTAACTATTACAATTCTGTATCAGAAAGAGACTTCAAAATGTCTTTTTCTCCAGCTCCATTACCTGGACAAAGATTAAACCTCATAAGACAGAATACAGTCTTTCACTGTCATTACTAACACCATATCCATGTTTAATCAAAACATGTATCAATTCTGCCAAGGTCATTTTGATTTCTCTTCTGAACTTATGAGCTGCCAGAAAATGAAATGAAGAAAAAGGTCAATAAGTTGGGTAGATGGACAAATCACATATAATAAATACTTTAGAAGCTATTGACTGTTCAATCTATACCTTTGAAACAACATTCACTGAGACGTCTGACCCACACCCATCTTCCCACTTTGTCATTAATAACGTCACATAAATCAAAAGCAGAGCTTTTGTTTCAATTTTATTTCCCTTAGGTCTATTATTTATCTAAAAAGCACATACTTCAAAAAGAGAAATTAAGTTAAATGATAGAATTGGGTTTTCATAAAACCACACTGATTACTACCTAGTACCTTGGGTCTTTTTACCTTTTAAGTAATCAATCAATTGATTTTCAGTCTCTTTACTTAAATGTTTAAAATATAACTTGAAATATATAATTTTCAGAATATTCTTTATTCTGTATGAGCACGATGTTGTGTCATTTTCTTGTCTTCAGCATGTCTTTCATCTTCCAACATATAATAAGTAATTGTTTAGTCCATTCTCTTCTTCGGCAGATCACAGTGAACAAAAATTCTGTATTTCATCAAATCCAAGATGCCATGAATTGTAAATCTCATTATTGTTTTATGTTCCACTTAAAAAAATTCTTGTCAATTTAAATGATACAATGCTCTCTTATTTCTCAGTTTATAGTTTTTTAGAGACTTCTTGTAGACACAGGCATATCTGCTTCACTAATATCATATTTACTCCTTGCTGTTGTTTCCATGCCATTCTGACTACCCAACAACTTTTGTTTCAATGCTGAGTCAACAATACAATCTTTCTGAAGACACTTTAGAAGGCAATAAAGTTCAACACATCCATACCAACTGTGTAG